TCACTCCAGTCCTGCCAACTGCCATGTTGGAATCTTCTGCTTGATTCTTATTCATTTTCTACCACTTTTTTCATGCTGGTGTAGTTCTCAGTAGGTTCTTTATAGTTCTCATTAAGTTGCTTGTAGTTCTCACTAAGTTGTTTGAGCCCCCTTATAACCATTACTTTGAATTCTTTATCTCACAAATTGCTTGCCTCAGTTTCATTTAGTTCTTTTTCTCATGATTCCTCCTTTTCTTTCATTTGGGAATTATGTTTTTGTCTCCCCATTTTAGCTGTCCAGTTGTCTGGGGCACCAGGTGAGGTGGGCCAATTGAAGGGGCAGGTTTGTGCATCTGGGGACAATGGGTTACACTGGTTTGCGGTGGTGGGCCCTATCTTCTGGTGGTGCCAGGTTAGGTGTGCTGGGTCATGGTGGCGGGTCCATATGTCCAGGGGCATCAGGTCCTGGATGCAGGGAACATTGGGTCATAACTGCAGGGTTGGTCTCAAGGCAGCTTGGTTGGTCATCTGGGGGCACCGGGTCAGGCACAATGGGTTCTGATGGCAGAACCATGCATCTGAGGTCATTGAATCACAGTGGCACGGCCAGGTGCGCCATGTCAAGGCAGTGGGACCAGTCATCCAGTGGCAGTGGGTTTGCTTGCCAGGTCAGGACATCAGATCTATGCATCTGGGCATGCACTCGCCTAGGCAGTGGGACCGGTCATCCCAGGGTCATGGTTCAGGCACACCAGGTTGCAACATCAGGCCCATGTGTCTGAGGGTGTCTTGTCCCAGCAGTTTGTCTGTGGTCTAGGGGCATGGGGTCATGGCTTCTCCCTGCTGACTCCTTTGTAATTCCACTTTGAACTTTGTAACTTCTGCTGCTATCTTGGATACCCCCTCCATGCTGTCATTTTAAAAAATCTCTCATATGAAATGAAATTGAATTGTATAATAAAGACCATTTCCTCCACCTAGTATCAACTATCTTAGCCATATTTCCTCCCCATACCTACTCCCACCAAATGTATATATTTAATTAACTTGAATCCATGGTTTTTAATAGATTAATTTCTTATATTTTTATTTATATTTTTATAGTCATATCAACTTTGCATGGCTATTGGTTGTCTCTTTCTGTTGCACAATCAAAACAACAATGTTATGGGGTGGTGATGATGGCTTTGGGATGATTACTTGGTTGCTTACTATATGAAAGCTATTTCTGTTGTTAAGTCAAAATATAATTTCTTTAATAAATGCTTTTCTGCTAGTGGTGGTGTGGATGAAGTTTTCTAATTCCCCTTTAACTCTTTGTTTCTGCAGTACTTTTAACTTATGCTGTTGTCACCTTTTTATATATCAGGCCTCTAAGGGATTGTTCAGCCTTTCAAGTTTCTCTTCTCAAAAGTGTTGCCTTCCCAAGATAAGAATTTTCTAAAAGTATTGAGACATCAAGTCACAGAGACAAGAAGGTCAGAGAATCTAATTAAGAAAAATACAAACCTCCCAAGCTCCAGTGAGATATATCCTAGTAATGAAAAGAAGACAGGCTGACAATAAATTATTTAAGAAGCCATCTTATGATGTTAGAAAAGTAATCCCCCAAAATGGAGAATGTGAAAGAAAATAATAACATCAATTAAAAATTTAGAGAACAGGAGAACCAAGATGGCGGCATAAGGTATAAACCTGTGTGTGCTGCCTCCCACAACAACACTGAAATTACAACTATAAGACAAAACAGCTATCACCCAGAACCACGGGAAAGCTGGCCGAGTGGAAGTTCTACAACTAGAAGGAAAGAAAGAAGCGCATTGAGACCGCGCAGGAGGTGCAGAGGCACCAAGAACAGAGGTATGAAGGTGCGCGCGAAGCGGCTGCACCTTGGTGCACAGTTTTTTTCAATTGGAAGGGTATACAAGGTCTTGAACGCACTGAGCTCGTTTAAGGCGAGATTCTGAGGTCCCAGATTCCTATGGAGAGAAACTGGACTGTCTTGCAGTGGTTTGGAAAGTGAGGGGGGCTTTCTCGCAGAGCTGCTTGCAGGGATCATTGTTGCTGTGGGGGCACGGGACTGCAGAGACGCAGAGTTGCGGACCCGCTGACGCTGACAACAGTTGATCCGCCCTGGTGATTCCCTGAGACCCTGCCCCACTCAATTTACAAATTGGTCAATTTACCCCTCCCAAGCTGTGCTCAGCGGTGCAAAGGAATCACCTCAGCTTTTGCAGCCTAATCTAACTGCAGCTGTGTCAGAGAGCTCCAAAACTTCCAAATTCCAAACAAAGAGGAGAAATCTGCTGATATCGCTGTAGCTCCTGCTGGGTGGACTCACACAATGGTTGACTTGGAGATCCAGGAGCCAGGGTACCCCTGGTCAGATACCAGATTTCAACTCCTCAGATCCATAAGGGACACACTCAGGGGGCAGATTCAGTGAGCACCAAAGCCCCACTGAAGCAAGTCCTGCCCCATAAGGGTGTCTCCAGCACAGCAGTTCTTCTTATAGACACAGTGGGTCCTCACAGTCAGCCAAAAATACGAAGACAAAGAAACATGTCACAAATGAAAGAAATGGAGGAAAGCAAACTAATGGAGGACATAGAGTTCAGAACCACAGTTATAAGGCTACTCAAGAATCTTCTACGAACCTCCAAGGAACTTAGTGAGACCTTCAAGGATCTTAATGAGAATGCCAAAAAAAATGGAAAAGGACTAGTCAGAAATTAAACATACACTAACTGAAATAAAGAATAATATACAGAGATCCAACAGCATACAAAAGGATCCCAAGGATCAAGTCAAAGATTTGAAATATGAAGAAGCAAAAAACACCCAACCGGAAAAGCAAAATGAAAAAAGAATCCAAAAATATGAAGATAGTATAAGGAGCCTCTGGGACAACTTCAAACGTACCAACATCTGAATTATCTGGGTGCCAGAAGAAGAGAGAGAGCAAGATACTGAAAGCCCATTAGAAGAAATCATGACAGAAAACTTCCCCTACCTGATGAAAGAAATAGACTTACAAGTCCAGGAAGCGAAGAGAACCCCAAACAAGAGGAATCCAAAGAGGACCACACCAAGACACATCATAATTAAAATGCCAAGAGCAAAAGACAAAGAGAGAATCTTAAAAGCAGTAAGAGAAAAACAGTTAGTTACCTACAAAGGAGTTCCCATACGAAAGTCAGCTGATTTCTCAACAGAAACCATGCAGGCCAGAAAGGAGTGGCAGGAAATATTCAAAGTGATGAATACCAAGAACCTACAACCAAGATTACTCTACCCAGCAAAGCTATCATGTAGAATTGAAGGTCAGATAAAGAGCTTCACAGACAAGAAAAAACTAAAGGAGTTCATCACCACCAAACCAGGATTATATGAAATGCTGAAGGATATTCTTTAAGAAGAGGAAGAAGAAGAAAAAGGTAAAGATAAAATCTATGAACAATAAAGTGACAACAAATAAATCCTATCAGCAAGTGAACCTAAAAATTAAGTCAGATTAAACTGGTGAATATAATAGAAGCAGGGGCATAGAAAGGGAGGGAACTGACAATTCTTGGGGGGAAGGGAGTGTGGAGGGTGCAGGAAGAGATTGGACCAAAATCTTACACCTATGGATGAGGACAGTGGCGGGGGGTAAGGGCATGGGGGGGGGGGAACCAGGTGGAGGGGAGATATGGGGGAAAAAAAGAGGAACATCTGTAATAATCTGAACAATAAACATTTATTAATTTTAAAAAATTTAGAAAACAAAGATACAATAGAAAGAATCAATGTAAAAGCTTGCTTCTTTAAAAGACTGCTAATATAATTGATAAAATCTTACTTCTGGTAAGATTTATCAAGAAAAAAATATAAGTGGAAAGATTAGGAATATCACAAATGTAAATGGCAACATCACTATTCAAACTTATAATTGTTAAAATACCATAATATACTATAAACAAATTTACTCCAATAAATTTTAAAATGTAGGTAAATTAAATGATCCTAGAAAAATTCTATAATGTCTCTCCCCAAATTATCATATTATTTATTATTTTTAATCCTTACCTGAAGATACTTTTCCATTGATTTTTTGAGAGAGAGAGGAAAAGACAGAGAGAAATATTGATGTGAGAGAAACACACATCAATTGGTTGCCTCCTGCACACGCCCCGGCCAGGGAGGAGCCTGCAACTGAGGTAGGTGCTCTTGACTGGAATCAAAACCCGGGACCCTTTGGTCTGCAGGATGATGCTCTATCCACTGAGCCAAACTGGCTAGAGCTCCCAAATTATTAATAGGATACCCAAATGATTCATTCCTTGAAATAACTTGTGTGCCAATTAATGTGTGATTCTGAGTGGTGATGGTGTTGGGGGGAATACAAATAAATATAATACAATTACAATACAAAGCCTTCCCCTAGAGGTCTTTCCCATAGGTCAGGTGTGGGGACACTTCTTTCTACCAATGGCCATTTGGATATTTATAACAAAATTTGTGGGCCACACAAAATTATCAGTTTAAAAATTAGTATTTGGTCAAACATTTAAATAACTCACCCCTAATGCCTTGGCAGGGCCAGACGAAATGGTTTTGCAGGCCTTATACAGCCCGTGGGCCGGATGTTCCCCACTCCTGCCATAGAGGAAGTCCCTCACACAAGGAAAGAACGTAGCTGTGAATCCCAGCCCTGGCCCTGGAAAGCTGTGTAAGATTGGGCACAGGCACTTCCTCAAAGTGACTTTTAAGAAGGGTGAGTTTGTGAAGATTTAGATAATGTATGTAAAGTTATTAGGTGGCTGATTGTTAGCAGCACCTAGTTCTGATGACAACTTCAGACTTACCTTGGATTTTCTTTTGAGGCTTATTATATTTAAAAGTTCTTTTCCCCAGCCTTGTAAAGTGACCTAAATACAGGTAGCCTGACTCCTTTGAAATATGGGCAAACCCCACATGTCCCATGGGCTGACCCTGAAGCTAACTTCCTAGATACTTAGGGACTCCCAAGATACTTACTTTTTTCATCACAGTCTAAGGAGGCATAAGGGTTTTCCATGCACATTTTTTTATTTTTGTAGAAAGTAAAATAGTTCATGAAGCACTTCCCCAGGTTGTAATTGGGAAGGAGCAGTAACAATCTCAGTATGAAGGTTCTGGTGGAATTTGATACGATACTTTCAATTTCTAAAAAGATGATAAGATTGGGCTTTATTATAGGAAATGAACTATCCCAGGAAAAAAAAAATCCCCAATTTATAATCAAACCAAGCTCAGGGAATCAAAAGTCAGATGATTATGCTTGAAGAACACTATTTCCCAATAGGTTTGTCCCTGCTGACAGCTAACAACAGTGTGTGTTGATAACTGAAGTCTGAAAGCCTCTTTGACGAAGTGGATGCCAGCATAATAAGTCTTCCTGGCACCGTTATGAACAGAAAGCAACTACAGTCTCTTTTCCACATTCTAAATGAATCAAACCAATCAGGGAGGCAACGTATGAGATGCAGCCTAGAATTCACCAATAGAGAACACATAGCGAAATTACGATATATTTGAGAGTAGGGAAATCTTCAGAGAAACCAGTTGATGTGTAACTGATATCTCTCTAAAGAATGTGTTGGATATGAATAATAATTAGACTAAATTCCTGGAGATGTGAACATGCTTAATTTATGAATTTTGATAATTCTGTTCTTGGGGAAGAAGATACAGGCTCGCCTAAACACAAAGTTCACCTAAGACACTTTGAGCAAGAAGAGGTGACCAAGCAGTGCCAAAGCCATGGTGATTCTGTCCTGTGGAGATATTAACCTGATATAGAGACAAACAATTGATCCAGATTGAAAAATTCTGCTTATTGTCCACTTGAACAAATGCAAAAAATGGCACTAATTTTATAGACTAGCACTATTTAATATATCTAATCATGGGAAGCTCTATGTCTGCACTCAGAAGTATGGCTATTGAGGGCTAGAAAGTGGCTAGTGTGGCTATGGAACTGAATTTTAAATTGTATTTAATTTCAATAAATTTAAGTTTAAAAAGCCCCATGTGGCTAGTGGCTACCGTATTACACAGTTCAGATATAGTCTGATATCGTGTGGACTCACCCTGTAGCAATCATGAATGTCTTCTCTTCCAAAGAGTAGAGAAAAATCTTAGGTGAGGAAGAGAAACAAAATATCTTACCTGGCAAAATGATGAAAAACTCTTTAGGGATGGGAAAAGGGAAAAACTGACAAAAAAGTGTTACTAAAAATAATTGTCATCCAGCTCAGCACGGGTATTGACTGTTCAGAACAGACTATAAATCAACTAAATTGTAAACTACTATACCCCTGGTGCGGCCATCTGGACGTACACGGATGGGATGCCACTTCTCCAGAGACTCCCAGCGAAGGCATATCTTATGTGCCCACTTCACCAGCCCCAGCATTTGTTTTATATACTCCAGTAGCAGTTCCTCGGTTTGTCGCATTTTAGAATTATGGTAGTTCCTTTCTGTCCACTCTGCACTTGTTTTATTTACTTTTCTTTACATTACACAGCCTCATGTATAATGTTTAATACAAGTGGCAACAGCAGTCACTCTTATCCAGCTCTTCATTTGTAAAGGAAATGCTTTCAATGAGTCATCAAATATTATGCTATAGAGTTTTGTCCTTTATAAAGTTAGGCATTTTTCTCCCCTAATTCTATTTACTAAGAAATTTTATCACATATCATTTATTTTTCTGCATCTATTGAGATAATTATGTTTCTCCTATTAACCCATTAAAATGGGAATTTTGTTTATAGATTTTTCTAATATAAAAACAACCTTCTTAGATTGTTTGCTGATATTTTATTTAACATTTTGAATCTGTGCTTATGAATGAAATTAGTTCATGATTATTTTGTCAGGTTTTGACATGCGGCTTTTGTTAGTCTTGTAGAAGGGGCTGGAAGTGTGATCTTACTCTTCTGTATCTCCTGGAGTACAATTCAGGACTCACCAGTAGTCATCTAGGCCTTATGTTTTCTTTTTGAAAATAATTTAAACTATTAACTACTTGGATTCTTGCAGTACAACTGGAATTTTCTAATACTTCTTAAATCAGATTTAGTGAATTTCATTTTTTCCTAGAAATATAACAATTTGTTCAAAGTTCTTAGACTTGTCCTTACATCGTTTATTATATCCCCTTATTTTTCAATGTGTAACAAATATATATATACTAGAGGCCCGATGCATGAAATTCATGCAAGGGCCTTGGCCCCGGCTCCGGCTGCTACCGTAGCCAAGGGCCTCTGCCGCCTCTGCCATGGCATCTGTCCGCTGCGGCTTTGTCCAGAAGGAAGGACATCCAGAAGGACATCTGGTCTAATTAGCATATATATATATTCTCTCTCTCTCTCTCTCTCTCTCTCTCTCTCTCTTTTTACATATACATATATATATATATACCTAATATTTATCTAAATTTTATTAATTCTTCCAACTGCTGATTCATGGGGTTGTTGGTCTTCTCTATTATATATTTGTTTTCTATTTGATTAATTTTTGCACTTATTTGCTCATTATTTCAACTGTGTTTACTATGCTTTTTTTCTAACTTATTAAATTGAACAGTTTGTTATGTTTTAACCTTTTTCATGGTAATAATTAAAGCTATAAAATATCTAGCTGCACAGTATTTATGTTATTCTTCAGTTGTAAATATTCTCAAATTTACATTATGATTCCCTCTTTGGCCTATTAATTATATTAAAAACTTGTATTAAAATTCCCAGTTGTGTGTTATTTTTTAAAATATATTTTATTGATTTTTACAGAGAGGAAGGGAGAGGGATAGAGAGTTAGAAACATCGATCAGCTGCCTCCTGCACACTCCCCACTGGGGATGTGCCCACAACCAAGGTACATGCCCTTGACTGGAATCGAACCTGGGATCCTTGAGTCCGCAGGCCGACGCTCTATCCACTGAGTCAAACCGGTTAGGGCTTGTGTGTTATTTTTCTTACTAATGTCTAATTTAATTGCAAAGTGATACTGAATGTGTTATTCATTAGTCTTCATTGTGTATCATCTAGTCAGTTTTGTGAAGACTCCATGTGTGTTTGAAAACATGTGTTTGAAATTCCATGTTCTCTATAATTACAAGAGAGGTATGCTAATATCTCCTCTATGATGTAGAGTTTGCCTAGTTCAAGTAGCTCTGGAAATTTTAAATATACTTCGAGATAATATTACTAGCAAATAAAATTTTGTAATTGTTACAACTTAATGTGCAAATGAATCTGCTATCATGTAATGAGCCTCTTTATTTCTAGTAATACTTTTTATCTCAACGAGTATTTTTTTCTGATATCAGTATTATTTTGTGGGCACTTGTTTAATATATTTTTTTACATTCTTTTATTTTCTGTATCTTTATTTATTAACAATGTCTCCTCTAAAGGGAATAATGCTAAAATTGATCCAAAATAGCAGTTTTTGTCATTTATTTAATAAGCCTCTTTTGATGCTATTTATTTTTATTACTGATATATTTGGGTTAATTACTATCATCACATTACTTTGCTATTTATTATTTTTATTTCATTTTTATTTCTATCCTTTTTGGATGTGACTGAATTTATTTTCTCCCTTCTTTTTCATTATGTTTTGGAAATTATACTTTTAAAATATCCCTTTAGTGTTTACACTGAATATTTAATCATGCCTACATAAATTTTCTCTCTGGCTGCTTCAAATATCTTTTTAGCATTGGTGTTCTGAAGTTTTATGATGATATGTATAGGCAAGTAATTTTTTTAAATGATTTAGTGGGCTTTCTGAAACTTAGGATGTCTGACTTAAACAACTCTGAAATTATCAGCAACTATCTTTCTAACACTACTTCCTCTTCCACTAATTCTTTCTACACCAATATATCAAATCTCCTCACTCCATCCTCCATGGTTTTTCACATTTATTTAATATGTTCCATCTTGTTATCTCATATTTCTTTTGTATTCATCTTTCTAAGTGTTATTTATTTATTTTTATTATATTTTTAAAACATTTTGTGTACCCCAGTGACCAGACTTTACGTAACTTAATGCATGATTATCCCAATAAATCCTGTACTTATCAATCAGCATGCCTAGTTATTAGAATATTATTGACTATATTCCCTATGCTGTACTTTATATCCCCATGACTATTCTGTAACAACCAATTTGTACTTCTTAATCTCTTCACCTTTTCTGCCCCCTCTCTCACTCTCCTCCCATATTATTTCTGTTGTGCTTGTTCATTTTGTTTGTAGATTCCATTGTTGATAGATAGGTATTTATTGCATTTTATTGTTCATATTTCTGATCTTCATTTATTCTTCTTAAATAAGACCCTTTACATTTCATATAATACTGGTTTGGTGGTGATGAACTCCTTTAGCTTTTTCTTGTCTGTAAAGTTCTTTATCTGACCTTTAATTCTAAATGATAGCTTTGCTGGGTAGAGTAATCTTGCTTATAGGTCCTTGGTATTCATCACTTTGAATATTTCTTGCCACTCCCTCCTGGCCTGCAAAGTTTCTGCTGAGAAATCAGCTGACAGTCGTATGGGCACTCCCTTGTAGGGAGCTTTTCTCTTGCTGCGTTTAAGATTCTCTCTCTCTCTTTTTTTAAATTTAACTTTTGGCATTTTAATTATACGTCTCAATGTGGGTCTCTTTGGGTTCACTTTGTTTGGGACTCTCTGTGCTTCCTGGATTTCTATGTCTGCTTCCTTCACCAAGTTACAGGAATCTTCTGTCATTTTTTCAAATAAGTTTTCTATTTCTTGCTTTCTCTCTTCTCCTTTTGGCACCCCCATGATAATATGTTGGTATGATTGAAGTTGTTCCATAGACTCCTTACACTATCCCTTTTTTTTTTCTTTTTGCTGTTCCGAATGGGTGTTTTTTGCTTCCTTATATTCCATATCACTGACTTGATTCTTAGCTTCATCTACTCAACTGTTGAATCCCTGTAAATTATTCTTTATTTCTTAGTGTAGCCTTCATTTCTAACTGGTTCTTTTTTATGTTGTTGAGGTCCTCACAAAGTTCCTTGAGCATCCTTATAACCAGTGTTTTGAACTCTACATTTAGTAGATTGCTTATCTCCATTTTATTAAGTTCTTTTTCTGGAGTTTTGTTCTATTGTTTCATTTGGGACATGTTTCTTTGCCTCCTCATTTTGGCAGCTCCCCACCCCCGTCTTTCTTTCTATGTATTAGATAAAGATGCTACATCTCCCAGGCTTGGTAGCATGGCCTAATGTAGTAGGTATCCTGTAGGGCCCAGTGGGCTGTATACCCTCCTGTTGTAGTTGAGTCTTAATTGCTGTTGGTATTTGAATAGGAGGGATTTAACCAGGTTGATCAGCTGCAAGACGGTGACTCTTTTATATTCATCCTTAACCACCAATTCTCTCTTCAACTGTTTCAACTATGTCTAATATTCTGATACTTCTATTTATTAAGTACTTAATTTAAATTAATTCTTTTCATTTTTTAAGATTCTATTTGGATCTTTTTCAAATCTACTTGTTCTCTCTCTCCATATACATATATAATGCCCATACATATGTATCTATAGTACATGCATATGTGCAATATATGTATATATGTTCTATATGCTGACCTGACATTCTTTGTTACTAGTTAAATATTTTAAAAATACATACTTTATGTTCTATTCTAAAAATCCTCAAATCTTAAATGTTGCAGGCCTGATTCTTATTCTATAGTTTGTGTTTTCTGGTAGCATTTGCTCTTAGGTCCTTGCTTCTTTTTTTTCTTTGTAATTTTAAGCTGATCTCAATTTCTCTAGATAATTTACCTGTGGGAGTACTTTGAAGGCTGGGAATTGTGTATACCTTTGCCACTCACCTGGAAACACAATCAACTGAAGTTATTTTAAATAAATGATCTGGTATGTTTTTTGGGTTACATAGGTACTATGATTTCAGGAAACAAACCAGTATGGGGACTTGCCTGTGGTTACAAATTAAAAGGGAAATTACTGTTCTCTGTTCCAGTGCCAAATTCAAATTTTGTAAATTTCCTTTCTGTGTCCTATTGTGGCATTAGTTAAGTTTTATTCACCCTTATAATGAAGTCCTTCTAACTTCCAATTTTAGATAGGAAGCTATTAAAACCTTTGTGGTATGTGCTTTATGCTTTCTATTCTGACTTCAGTGTTACTCACTACCTATGCAAATGTAAAGTAAAGGTAACCAGATTCTGTCAATAAGCCCATGTCAGAGCTACCTTTAATACTTGCTTACCTTCAGGAACACAAGCTTCCATTTATTGTTGGCCTCTGCCAATTCCATACTTTCTTCTTAATTCATTATTTTGATAGAGTATCATTTACAGTGTTTGTTCTGCTACTGAAAAAAGGAAGTCTCCTTTGACATTCTAATTGCCAAATCTATTGGCTTCTTTTTTTGTTCTCACCCTTCATGTCTCTTTGAAACATATTCTTCCCCCAAAATGTTTTTTAAACTTTCTGAAACAGTAATTTCTTCTAATTCTTCTTATTAATTACTAGAGGCTCGGTGCATGAAATTCATGCACTTGGGGGTCCCTCAGACTGGCCTGCGCCCTCTCTCAGTCCAGGAGCCGTCAGTCGGAAATCCTTAGCTCTGCTGTGGAGGCAGGAGAGGTTCCCGCCATCACTGCTGCACTCACCAGCCATGAGCCCAGTTTCTGGCTGAGTGGTGCTCCCCCTGTGGAAGCACATTGACCACCAGGTGGCAGCTCCTGCATTGAGCATCTGCCCCCTGGTGGTCAGTGTGTGTCATAGTGAGCATTCATTCTGCCATTCGGTCGATTTGCATATTAGCCTTTTATTAAATAAGATTTTTATTGGGGTGACATTAGTTCACCAAACCAAACAGGCTCAACAAAATATCATCTGCACACCACATCATGCACCTATTGATCAAAGAACAGTCCCTTTCTGTCCCCATTTCTTTCCCCTTTGTCCCCTCCCTCCCCCCATTTTCCTCTGGCTAACACCACACTGTTGTCTATGTCTATGCGTTTTATATGTATAAACTCACATCACAAACTCAGATGCCTTAAGGGGAGTCTTCCCCACTTAGCATAATAAAGAGGTGTGCAGCATATACAGATATTGCTTCCCATAATTTTGGGATTGCTTTGAGAATTAGTGCTAAGGCATATCTCTTAACATTTTTTTGTCTGCTATCCAGAGGCATAAGTCTTACTCATGTGAAATACTCTTTTGTGACAGGGAATGAGGTGGGAAGCCTGTGCTTATGGGGCTCTTTGATAACAGGGAGAAATGAAGTGGTCAAGTGCTCAAGCCAGTTCAAACTCTCGTCAGAGAAGGAAGGGGTGGGGGGAGATACAGATGTAAGAATACTGCAGAAGCCAGGCTTATGTGCAGTAAGGAAGCAGAACTGGCTTAGCTGTAAGGATGTCAGGTGCATACAGAGTTTTTCTTCTTTCTGGAAAATCATATTTGGCTGCTCAGGATCTTTACGTTAGGGAAGAACAGCTGCACCATATAACCTTTCCTCGATGAAACTGTTGGCCTCTCTCCAGAATTCAGGATTCCTCTCCACTCTTCCCTCTCATCACCACACTGTAAAGTGCCCAACATCAAGGGATCTCACTTTTAAAAATAATGAGGGTCTACGGTCAAGTGTATTTTTAATATGATTTATTCTAACTTACTAAGGCCTGTCCTTTTAAGAATAAAGCTGCTCTTTTGTTTTCATTTTTTTGTCTTTTTCTGACAAATGAGTTTCAGAAACAAATGCTCCTAAAATGTCCAAAATCTTGTGCAAAACAGTTTCCTTAAGTCATGTGATAGTGTTACTGGATGTGAGGGTAAGAAGGAGGAATCTTGTCAAAGAACCATATGTCAGGTTCAGTCCCATCACTTCAATAGGAAGACCCCGTTCCAGCAGACCTAGAGTGGGTTGACAGGCTCTCAATGTACATTTTTATCTATTTCAGAGAGGAAGGGAGAGGGAGAGAAAAATGGAAACATCAATGATGAGAGAGAATCATCAGCTGCCTCCTGCATGGGCCTATTGGGATTCAAGACCACAACTTGAGCATGTGCCCTGACTGGGAATTGAACCATGACCTCAGCTCAACCACTGAGTCACACTGGCCAGGTTCAAAGTAATTTTTATTGACTTACATCAAGTTCAGGACTTTACCAAGCCTGGAACATAATTGTCTCCTAATGTCCTCATTTATTTACACTTACCAAACTGAAATGTGGCATCTATGATGAGACTGCAAATGCCTGAAAGGTAGCTGAACACCACAAGTTTGATGTAGGCAGAAGTACTTTGGGAAAACAGGAAGCTCAGCAGATATATGAGGGGGATGGCACTCCAGCCGAACAGCATGACGATCAGCATTGTGTCCAGGAAGTGGTAGTCTGTGAGAAACTCGTCCAGTTGGCAGAACTTGAACACGCCCTGGAATACACAGGATACAGTGATAAAGGCAAGTGAGACCTGGCAAGTGCAAAAATAATTCAAGCTAGAACACTTAGAAAAGGAAATAGCAAGACCTGTCCTTATTTAGCACAGAATACTCATTAATTAGATAATTTTGCCTTAAAAAAAAAAAAAAAAGCCCTACTCACTTCTTCTCCAAGGGCAGTCCAGAGACAAAACCATTGTAATTCCCTTTGGGAAAGTTTTTTAAATTCATAAACAGAATCAGTATCGCTTTCCCCAAATAATCCAAATTCTCAACTTTCCCAGAAAGTAGATTATTTGTCTAAAGAGAAACGATTTCTTTAAATATTTTCCTCCTGACTACATGCCTGACCTATCACTGCTATCCACCTTTAAGCTAGGTCTCCTGGTTCTATTCCACTCCCACACTTCCTCACATCCACTGCAGCAACTCTGAGATTTCTTTCTAAATTTCTTTTTCTGTTGGTACTTTTCCCTTTACAGTGTGAGGTAAGCATTTCACAAACCATTTAAGTGGTTTGCCGGAGGTGGCGGGTTCCAAAGTAGCCAAGGTTATTGTCTCCAGATTCTGTCTCCAGATTCTGTGCCTCGCTGGCACTCTAAATCCCCACTCCCATGTTTTCTCTTACGTTTTTGCTATTACACTTTTTGCTTTTTAATTTGTCTTTCACTCCCCACCCCATAATTCATTGCACAGAGTAATTACATGTAGCAACAATAGGCTTTCCTTAGTATCCATGTCCATCTTTTTTTTAAAATTAAATTTATTGGGGTGACATTGGTTAATATTTTATAGGTATCATGTATCACATTTTTATGAAACATGATCTGTATATTGCATGGTGTGCCCATGATGCAAAGTCAAATCATCTTCCATCACCATATATTTGGCGTCCTTTGCCTTCTATTCCTAAACCCCCTTCCCTCTGGTAACCACCATTCTGTTGTCTGTGCCTATGAGTTTCAGTTTTATATCCCACATCTCAGTGAGATCATATGGTTCTTAGCTTTCTCTGACTTATTTTGCTTAGCATGATATTTTCAAGATCCATCCATTTTGTCGCAAATGGCAGTATTTCGTCTTTTCTTATCGCTGAGTAGTATTCCATATATATCCACCAGAAAGATTTGAAAGCATTTATTCAAAAAGATATATGTACCCCTATATTCACTGCATCCTTATTCATCATGGCCAAGACATGGAAACAACTGAAGTGTTCTTCCATAGATGATTGGATAAAGAAGATGTGGGATTGCTGGGTTATATGGTAGCCACATTTTTAATTTTTGAGGAGCCTCCATACTGGTTTCCACAGTGGCTGTACCAGTTTACATTTCTACTAGCAGTAAATGAGGGCTCCTTTTTCTCCAAAACCGCTCCAACACTTCTTATTACTTGTCTTACTTATAATAGCCATTCTAACAGGTGTGAGTGGTATCTCATTGTAGTTTTGATTTGCATTTATCTAATAGCTAGTGAAGTTGAGCATCTTTGCATATATTTGTTGGCCATTTATATGTCTTCTTGGGAGAGGTGTCTGTTCAGGTTCTCTGCCCATTTTTTAATTGGGTTGTTTGGTGTTGAATTGTATGAGCTCTTTATGTGTTTTGGATATTAACCCCTTGTCAGAGCTGTTGTTTCCAAATATCTTCCTCTATTTTACTGGTTGTCTTTTTGTTTTGTTGGCAGTTTCTTTGTTGTGCGGAAGCTGTTTAGTTTGATATAGTCCCATTCATTCATTTTGCTTTTATCTCCCTTGCCTTTGGGGTCAAATTCATGAAATGTTCTCTAAGACCAAAGCTCATAAATTTAGTACCTACCTTTTCTTCCATGTAATTTATTGTTTCAGATCTTATATTTATGTCTTTTGTTCATTTGAGTAAAAATTTTAACTTTTTTAAAAATGTGATTTTTAGATAGACGTAAAGGGAGAGGGAAAGAGATATAGAAACATCCATGATGAGAAAGAATTATCAATCGGCCACCTAGTGCACACCCCCTACTGGGGCTCGAGCCCGCAACCTGGGCATGTACCCTGGCCAGGTGACCTTTTGGTGCGTGGGATGATGTTCAATCCACTGAGCCACACGGGTAGGCCATTTGAATAAATTTTTGTACATGGAGACAAACTATATTTTACTTTCATTCTTTTGCATGTATCTTTACAATTTCCCCAGCACCATTTATTGAAGAGGCTTTCCTTACTCTATTGTATGTTTTGGCTCCTTGTAAAAAATTATTTGCCGATATACATGTGGTTTTATTTCTGCACTCCCAAATCTGTTACATTGGTTTGTGTATCTGTTTTTCTGCTGTTTGATTATCATTGTCTTTTAGTATAATTTGAAGTCAGGCAGTGTGATACCTCCAGCTTCATTCTTTTTTTCTCAGGATTGCTTTGGCTACTGAGGTCTTTTGTGATTCCATACAAATCTGATGATGTTCTATTTCTTTTAAAAATGGGATTGGGATTTTCATGGGGATTGCATTAAATCTATATATACTGCTTTGGGTAATATGGCCATTTTAACTATGTTGATTTTTTCCAATCCATGAACATGGAATATCTTCCCATTTCATTGTATCTTTTTCAATCTCTTAAAAAATTTTAATATATTTTTATTTATTTCAGAAAGGAAGGGAGTGGAAGAGATAGAAACATAAACGATAACAGAAAATCACTGATTGGCTGCTTCCTGCATGACCCCTACTGGGGATCGAGCCCACAACATGGGCAAGTGCCTTGACCAGGAATTGACCCGTGACTGACCGGTTCATAGGTCAATTCTCAACCACTGAGCCACACGGATCGGGCTTTTTTTGCAATCTCTTTGAATAATGCTTTGTAGGAGATGAGAAGACGGCAGCTGGCAGGACAGCAGTGAGGGAGAGGGTGTGAGTAAGGGAGTGAAAGGGGCGTGTGTGGACGTGTGTGGTGTGTGCGTGTGTGAGTGAGGGGCAGATCTCTCAAGAGTCTCAGGGGCTGGCAGACGGGGCTCTCATGGACGGGGAGCCCCTGCCACTGCTGTGGGCACTCCCCCTGCTGTGGGGCTTGGGCATGGAGCCCATGCCATTTAGAAGGGGAGAGTGGCCTCCACTCGGTACCCAGCCTCAGCTCCACCCAGACTGCCTTGGACACTGCCCGGGACCCTGCAGCCACACAGCCAAAGTCATGCTGCCTCGGTGCAGACCTGCAGACCCCAGGACATCCACCTCCTGGCTGCCGGCTCCTGGACACCGCAGTTGCACCACTCCAGCCCAGAGGCGGCCCGTGACTGCCCCATCGCAGGCCGGCTTCTCAACACTGCAGTCCTGCTGCTCCAGCAACAGACACCAAGAATACTGCTTGCTGGGCCACTGGATCCTGGGCCCATGGATGAGTTGCTGAGTGTGCGCCCCTGCAGGCAAGGGCGCTCGGCTTCAGCTGTAGAACCTGCCGCTACCACTCCAGGGCCGCAGGACCGTGGGCCCCTCAGGAGTTGCTGAGTGCGTGCCCCTGCAGCTGAGGACACAAGGCGCCAGCAGCAGACCCGTGACTCCCCCTCCCGTGCTGCCTCTCTGGTCAAAGTTGTGCTGTTTCAGCCACAGACTCCGAGATTCCCGCATCCCCAGCCGCTGGCTCCTGCCCCCTCTCCACCTTTACCCGCAGTGATTCGCAGAGTGAAATCAACCTGGCCAGTCCCCACTGCCTCATCCACAGACACGGGACACGTGCCTCCCACCATCACAGGCTCCTGGACCCTCGCAGTGATTTGCAGTGACACTACCCCAGCAAGAGTCACATCACCCAGGGCAGAGTCACACTACCTCAGGCCAGAGACCCCTTCCGCTCAGGCCATGGACTCCGGGATCCACGGCGAGTGCAGCCAGTAAGACCTCAGGCAACCCTTTCCACAAGGGCCGGAACCACGAGCACACCACAACTACTTGCACCAGAGGCCGGGGGAGTCACATTGTCAGACAACCCACATGAGACTTCTTTCCCCCCACCATTTAAATTCTTTATTGTTTAAAGTATTAAAGAAGTCTCCTTTTCCCCCCATTGACCTCTCCCCAGCCACTCCCACTCCCCAGCACATGCCCTCACCTCCTACTCTCTGTGTCCATTGGTTATGCCTATATGCACGCATACAAGTCCTTTGGTTGATCTCTTACCTCCTCCCCCTGCCTTCCCTCTTAGGTTGGATGGTCTGTTCCATGCTTCTATGACTGTTTCTATTTTTGTTCATCAGCTTACCTTGTTCATTATATTCCACAAATGAGTGAGATCATGTGATATTTATCTTTCTCCAATTGGCTTGTTTCGCTTAGCATAATGCACTCCAGGTCTATCCATACTGTTGCAAATGGTAAGAGTTCCTTCTTTTTTTACTGCAGCATAGTATTCCATTGTGTAGATGTACCACAGTTTTTAATCAACTCATCTTGGATCCTTTCAAAGAACCAGCTCTTGGTTTTATTGATCCTTTGTATAGTTTTTTTTCATCTCTATGTCATTTATTTCCTCTCTGATCTCTATTATTTCCTTCCTTCTGCTCACTCTGGGCTTTTCTTGTTGCTCTCTTTCTAATTCTTTAAGTTGTAGAGTTAGATAATTTATTACCAGTTTTCCTTGTTTTTGAGGTAGGCCTTTAATGCTATGAACTTCCCTCAGGACTGCTTTTACTGTGTCTCATAGATTTTGGATTGTTGTGTTTTCATTGTCATTTGTTTGCAGAATGATTTTTATTTCTTCTTTGATCTCTTTGGTAACTCCATCATTGTTTAATAACATGATATTTAGCCTCCAAGTATTTGAATTTGTTTGTTTGTTTTTATTGTAGTTTATTTTCTAATATTATGCCATTGTGGTCTGAGAAGATGCTTGATATGATTTCAATGTTTTTGAATTTGAAGAGACTTTGCCTATGTCCTAATATGTGGTCTATCTTTGAAAGTGTCCCATGTGCACTTGAGAAGAATGTATATTCTGTAGCTTTGGGGTGAAATATTCTGAAGATGTCAATTAGTTCCATCTGATCTGGTGAGTCATTTAGGATTGATGTTTCTTTGCTGATTTTTTGTTTAGAAGATTTATCCAGTGGTGTCAATGGGGTATTAAGGTCCCCTAATATGATTTTACTGCTGTTGATCTCTCCCTTGATATCTTCCAGAAGTTTTTTTTTTTTTAATGTATTTGGGTGCTCCTGTGTTGGGTGCATATATGTTCATCAGAGTTATATCCTTGTTGAATTGCTCCCTTTAGTGCTATGTAGTGGCCCTCCTTATCTCTTGTTATGGCCTTTATTTTGAGGTCTATTATGTCAAATATAAGTATTACTACCCAGCTTTTTTTCTCATTTCCATTTGCCAGAAAAATTTTTTCCCATCCCTTCACTATCAGTCTGTGTGAGTCCTTGTTCTGAGGTGGGTCTATTGTAGACAGCAAATACATGGTCATGTTTTCTAACCATTCAGCTTCCCTATGTCTTTTGATTGGAGCAATGAATCCATTTATGTTTAAGGTTATTATTAATAGGTACTTGTTTGTCACAATTTTTATTCTTTATGCCTGTTTTCCTTCTTCCCATTCTATTTCTTCTTTTTACAGCAGTCCCTTTAGCATTTCGTGCATTGCTGGTTTGGTGGTAATGAACTCACTTAGCCCTTTTTTGTCTGTAAAGCTCCTGAATTCACCTTCAATTTTGAATGATGTGTATAGTATTCTTGGCTTCAGTCCCTTGCCTTGCATCACTTTGTATATTTCATTCCATTCCCTTCTGGCCTGATGTGTTTCTGTTGAGAAGTCAGTTGATAGTCTGATCGAAGATCGCTTATAAGTAATTTTCTGTCTCTCTCTGGCAGCCTTTAAGATTCTTACTTTGTCCTTGATGTTTGCCAATTTAATTATAATGTGTCCTGGTGTCAGTCTTTTTGGTTTCATCTTGTTTGGGACTCTGTGTGCTTCTTAGGCTTGTGTGGCTTTTTTTCTTCCCAATATCAGGGAAGTTTTCTGTCATTATTTCTTCAAACCGGTTTCCTATTCCTTGCTCCACTTCCTCCCCTTCTGACACCCCTATTATGTGGATGGGTTTTGTTTGTTTCGTGTTGTCCCAAAGCTCCCTTAGGCTCTCCTCCTGCTTTTAAAGTATTTTTTCTAGTTGCTGCAGTGCTTGGGTGGTTTAAACTACCTTGTCTTTTTGTATGTTTAAATTTTCTCTTTATAAAAAGGACACCAGTCAGATTGAATTGGGACCCACCCTAACTGCTTCATTTTAACTTGAATTTGAAATGCAAATAATAACTATTTGAAAGCCCCAACTTTAAATATAGTTACATTTTTGAAGAACTGGTGTTTAGAACTTAAACATATGAAATTTGGGGAATATAATTTAGCTCATAAAATTATTATGTCCCTGGCTTGGTGGCTCAATCAGATGAAGTGTCATCCCATACACCAAAAGATTGTGGGTTTGATTTCTGGTCAGGGCACATACCTAGTTCGGGGGTTTAATATTCGGTTGGGGTGCATACGGGAGGTAATCCCTTGATGTTTCTGTTTCCTCTCTCTCTCTCTCTCTCTCTCTCTCTCTCTCAGTCTCCCTAGCTCTCTATCTCTTACTTCCTCTCTCTCTAAAATCAATAAGCATATCCTTGGGTGAGGATAAAAAATTATTATGAATTCCAAAGATCTTCTTTCACATGCCTCTTGATTAAAATGTACACACATTTCAATGTGTTTTCTAAGATAATGAGCAAAGATAATTTATCAGCAGAGTTAAGTTTATGTTATAATTGGAGAGTAGCAAATTTCCACAGGGTACCGAAAATAAAAAAGCTCTCAAAAAATCTTTATTTAACACTCACCAGCAGTAGACAGCAGGCAATGAAGAAGATGGTGAGATCCCACAGTAGAGCAGAAAGCCAGTACGCAAGGACATAGACCCCACTCAGAAACTGGATGAGCTTTGCCTTAGTGATTCTCTCAGTCACTGTCAGGAGACAAAAGCCACTGACCAAAAGAGCCATCCCAAAATGTATATTTATGGCCACCTGGTCTCCTTCTGGCAACCTAGAAAATTAGGAACAAAAGTAGGTATATTAAAAAATCAACAGCAGAAAATATAAATTTCTATCAATTGCTATTTTTAATCATACAGATATCATCAACATTGTATAAAAGCATCTACATTAATAAAAGACAAATATGCTAATTGACCGTACCTTCGTCACACCCTAAGCCACGCCTGCCAGCCAATCAGAGCAACTATATGCAAATTAACCCAACCAAGATAGCGGCCGTCAGCCACGGAGCTTGGAGCAAGCAGGTGATGGAGGAAGCCAAGGTTCCTGCCTGCCCTGAGCCAGCTGTGGCCTCCGCTCATGGCAACAAAGTTTCAATTATAGAAGACAAAGAAATCCCAGATACCTGCTTCCAGCCAGCCTCCACTGGGAGCTTGGGTGGCTGGGGGTTGTGGCCAGCCTGCAAACAGCCATCAGCCCCTCACCCAGGCTGGCCACACCCTCATGGGGTGAGGGTTCCTGCTGGGGGGCTTAGCCAGGCTGAAAACGGCCCTCAGCCCCTCACCCAGATTGGCCAGGCACCCCAGCAGGACCCCCCACCCTGAAGGGACTGTGGCCAGCCTGCAAACGGCCCTCAGCCTCTCACCCAGGGTGGCCATACCCTCATGGGGTGAGGGTCCCTGCTGGGGGGCTTGGCCAGCCTGAAAACAGCCATCAGCCACTCACCCAAACTGGCCAGGCACCCCCACAGGACGCCCCTACCCTGAAGGGGCTGTGGCCAGCCTGAAAACGGCCCTCAGCTCCTCACCCAGGCTGGCCAGGCACCCCAGGGCGGACCCCCCACCCTGAAGGGGCTGTGGCCAGCCTGAAAACGGCCCTCAGCCCCTCACCCAGGCTGACCAGGCACCCCAGGGCGGACCCCCCACCCTGAAGGGGCTGTGGCCAGCCTTCAAACAGCCATCAGCCCTTCACCCAGGCTGGCCAGGAACCCCAGGGGGGACCTCCCAACCTGAAGGGGCTGTGGCCAGCCTTCAAACAGCCATCAGCCCTTCACCCAGGCTGGCCAGGCACCCCAGGAAGAACCTCTACCCTGAAGGGGCTGTGGCCAGCCTGAAAACAGCCATCAGCCCCTCACTCAGGCTGGCCAGGCACCCCAGGGGGGGACCCCCACCCTGAAGGGGCTGTGGCCAGCCTGCAAACAGCCGTCAGCCTCACCCAGGCTGGCCACGTACTCCTATATAATAAAAGGGTAATATGCAAATTGACCCTAATAGCAGAATGACTGGGAATGACTGGTCATTATGACACACACTGACCACCAGGGGGCAGATGCTCAATGCAGGAGCTGCCCCCTGGTGGTCAGTGCGCTCCCACAGGGGGAGCTCTGCTCAGCCACAAGCCAGGCTGATGGCTGCCAATACAGCGGTGGTGGTGGGAGCCTCTCCCGCCTCCTCAGCAGCACTAAAGATGTCCGACTGCAGCTTAGGCCTGCTTCCCGCTGGCAAGTGGACATCCCCTGAGGGCTCCTGGGCTGCCAGAGAAATGTCTGACTGCCAGCTTAGGCCCAATCCCCTGGGGAGCGGGCCTAAGCCAGCAGGTGGACATCCCCCGAGGGGTCCCAGACTGCGAGAGGGTACAGGTCGGGCTGAGGGACCCCCCCGAGTGCACAATTTTTGTGCACCGGGCCTCTAGTCTAAGTATAAAATTCTATTCTAATAAAAAGAAAAACATACATTGAACTGTATTTCTTATAAGTAGAGGTTGGCTGAGGTTTATTGAAGACTGTTATGGAAGCATCGGGGCCAGAAGTTGACATGAAAAGAATATTGTCCAGCATTGCCAGGGACAGGGCTGGTGAATGATATGCTTGATTGTTGAACAGACCAGTAAATGTTATTTTATCTTTCTTCACCTCAATGGAAAATGCAACAATGCATAAGTGAATACAATCTTCATTTTCCATCAAATATTTTAGTAGGTCACCTAGTATGAGGACACAATATTGGTCAGTTTGTCCAAAACACAATATATGTTTGGGAAGAAGAACAATAATTTTACTTGGTTATTATCCTTTTCAGTTTCTGATAATAATTATTTCAAACATTTTCCATTCTCCTTAAGCACTTCATTGCCCATAATCTAAATTCCTACTTCACTGAGAAAACACAGGTGACCTGGTATAGACTCTTTACACTTGCTTATCTGTCTTAAATTTATCTATGAGTACTTTTAGTTATAGATTTTATTGCTTATCTTACAGCAGACAAAAACTTCCCGTGAGAAAATGGATAAAAGAAATGAGAAATCACCTATTTTAAGGTATCATATATCTAGGAGAGCAATATACATTTGGGGTCCAAGACCTTGGAAAGAATGAAATGCATTCATTTGATGTGCCTTTTCCTTTTGAGGCATTTTAGATCTGTTAATGGTGGTGGTGTCTTGTGGTAAATCCTTTAGTCCTCAATAGAGCTCATGAAGAGCTATAGCTTAGGAGTAAGACTGAGTAAGAAATAGACCAGTCCTCATAACAATTTCAATCCAGTATCAAATCACTTAAATCCCTGATTGGATTTACACCTGTCCTTAATCTTATTGGCCATCAGAAAGTAAACCTCCTCAGGAGAATATAACCTCATGCAGATTATTTATAACCTTCATACACAATATCTGGTATTCAATAAGAAAATTTCTAGGTATACCAAAAACAGAACCAAGAAAAAGCACAAATAAGAGAAACAGAGCCACAGGTAAACTAGGCATTAGAGATAGAGAATTCACAAGAGAACTAGAGTCCATAGAATGAATAAATGTTGATGTTAGAATTGAAAAACACATATTAATTACAATGAAGAATATATAACTCATAGCATGTTGGATACAAATGAAGAGTAGACAGGAAACTAGAAGATAGGTTGATTTAAAAAAATTAGCCAATCGCACAATACCAAAAAAAAAAAAAAGAAGAAACAGAATGGAAAATAAGAGTGAAAACATTAATTAACAATATTCTCAATGACATGGGAAACCACTATAGATATTCACATATCAAAAGAATAATAAAGTAATACTATGCACAACTCTACACACATAACTTTGACAGTTTAGATGGAATGTCCTACTTTCTCAAAACATAAACTATTGCTTACCTCACCCAGTATAATAGAGACTAATGAATAATTACTAAGGAAACTTAATTTACAAATTAAAAAATTTCCCCCAAATGAATATCCAGGTCTGGATGGTGTTTTCTTTCTTTCCTTTTTTTTTTTTAATGTGATGGCAAGATTTTACTTTGACTTAACGGGTATTAGTACACCCTCCGGGATGTGGAAGGTGGGCAGGCTCTAAAGCACTGCCAGGTCCAGATGTTTTAACTAGAGAATTCTAAAAAATATTTAAGGAAAAATAAACACTAATTATAGACAATATGTTTCAGGAAACAGAGAAGGAGGGAACATTTCTCAATTTATTTTATGAAGCTAGTAATACCCTGATAGAAAAACCATACAAAAGAAGTACAAAAACTAAAATACAGACCAATATCTTTCATGAATATAGGTGTAAATCTCCTTGAAAATATTAGCAAAAATTATTAAGCAATATAAAAAAGAATAAAACACCATGACCAAGTGGGGGTCTACTTTAGAAATGCAAGGCTGGTTCCATATTTAAAATCAATCAATGTCATCCACTGTATTAATAGGCTGAAGAATAAAAATTACATAATAATATCAATCTATGCAGAAAAAAACATTTGAAAAAACTCAGTACTCAACTCATGATAAGAATATGGGAATATTGCTGAAGTTCCTCAACTTTATACAGAACATCTATATAATCCCTACTGCTAGCATTATACTTAATGGTGAAAAACTATATATTTTCCCCCTGAGACTGGGAACAAGGAAAGAATGTCCACTCTCATCACTCTGAGTCAACATCGTGCTTGAGATTCTGTCCAGTGGAATAAAGCATGAAGAGAAAAAAACAGGCATATAGACCATAAATAAAGAAATAACTATTAATTGCAGATGACATAATTGTCCATCTAGAAAAATCTCAAGGAATCAACAAAAAATTCTAGCTTTAATAAGTGAGTTCACCAAGGTTGCAGGATGCAAGATAAATATAAAAACAAATTGCTTTCTATACACTAGAATAAATATATGGACACAAAAATTAAAAATACAATGCCATTTAAGTCTGTTCAAAAAAAGGAAATAGCTATAAATATAAGAAAATGTGCACAGGATTCATTGATGAAAAGTACACCACACTGATGAAAGAAATTTAAAAGATCTAATTCAATGGAGACATATATTATGTGCATAGATTGGAAAACCCATGTTCATTCTCCCAAACTGATATAATCCGTCTTATAAAAATTCCCACAAATTATTTTATAGGTATGGACAAGGTTATTCTAAAATCTGTATGGAAAAAATCAAAGGAACTAAAAACCTTTGAAAAACAGGAATAAAGTAGGAAGAATAGTCTACCATATTTTAAGCACACTATTGGTGAATTAACAGATACATAGATTAATGAGTAGAATAGAGAACCCAAAATAGACCCACACATGCCCCATTCATTTTGGATAAAGGTACAAAATTATTAAATGGATATCCTCACTCAACAAATGTTGCTGGAACAATTGAATGTCCATAGGCACAAAATTTAACCTTGATGCACATCTTATACATTATACTAAAATTAATGTGAAATGGATGATAAACTTAAATGTAAAATATAAAATTATAAAAATTTTAGAAAACTATAAACATTTTTATGAGAAAAGTCTTTATTATTTAGGGCTATGCAGAAATTCAGACTTGACACAAAATACACACTCCATAAAAGAAAAATTTAACAAATTGGACTTCATCAAAATAAAACTTTTTTCTGGAAAACCGATTAAGATGATGAAAATACAGTTGACAGTATAAGAGAAAACATATAAAGATCTCTCATAACTCAACAGTAAAAGAAAACACCATCAATTTTAAAAGAAGCCAAAGAGCCCTGGCCTTGTGGCTCAGTTGGTTGAGTGTTGTCGCGTGCACTGAAAGGCCATCAGTTTCATTCCCCGTCAGGGAACATGAAGAGGTTTCGGGTTCAGTTCCTGGTTGGGGTATGTACAGTAGGCAGCCAATCATTGTTTCTCTCTCACATCTGTTTCCCTCTCTCTTCCTCTTCCTGCCTCTCTCTCTAAAATCAATAAAAACATTTTTTTAAAAGGAGCAAAAAACATGAACAAATATTTCAGATGAAAAATAAACACACGAAAAAGATGCGCATAGTAGGGAAAAGCAAATTAAAACAACAATGAAATATCACTACACACCTACCAGGATGGCTAAAATAAAAATAATGACATGAATGGTGGAAAAGATGCGGGAGATGGAAGAATAGCTTGGGACCACCATTCTATTCTGTAAGGCCTAGAGTCATGTGATACATTGCATTCTGACCAGATCTTGAATAACAAAACAAAATTCATGCTTAATTTCATGGTACTTTGGCACTTTTTTTTACTGGAAGGAACAACTGTCATGTAGGCAACCCACAGCTAAAATGCCTCCACTAATAACATTTTGAGGCCAGTAACCTTAAAGAGTGCATTTCTTGATTCTGAGCTGCCTCTATAAAATTGGTGACTAACAGGAAAAGAATGGAGAGGAAGCCACATATACAGTTAAGACCCTTCTTTACAAAACCAGATCTTCATCTAAGAACAAACTTTTTCTTGATGAGGCTTACCTTGCACTTCCTTAAGTGTGTGGTTGTCAGGCTCTAGCATACTTTTAAGATTTTTTAAGAAAATCAGAGTCAAATTAGAATTCCCAGAAATTGATAAAGGCACAATGGTTTGACCATATTGACTCAAACTCATTAGCCTGGCCTTATCATCATTACTATGTGTAAACATAACAGTCTCTGAGAGAAGGATAAGTGATCCTAGAAGTGCCAGTATCTGCAGCAAAATGAGTTTCCAGTTGCGCCAATTGAATATTGCCCTCTTTATGAACATGGCACAGAACTGCTGGTGGTAGAGGGAACACTGAAGAAAGGAGAAACAGAACATTACAACACTTATAGACCTAAACAGGTCAATCACATTGAAATTAAAGATCAACACTGGAATTTTATGGTAGAGATACATAAAGTTTCTACATACTTGGAATAGAATTCAAACATAGTATGATAATGCACAAGAGTATGTACATCCTTTTGTCTATATGACGTGCACTGACCACCAGGAGGCAGACGCTCAATGCAGGAGCTGCTTCCTGGTGGTCAGGGGTCAACACAATTACACCCATTCATTTCTGTATTGTCTATGGTTGCTTTTTGCCACAATGACAGGGCTGAGTAGTTGCAACAGAGACCATATGGCCCACAGAGCCTTATATATTTATCATCTCCTTACATAAAGTTTTCTAACTTCTGCTATAAGGATTAATTAAGATATTTATGTTCTGGCTTTTGATATAGCATACTTAAAAGTCTCAACAAGATGATTTTCCTCAGTCTTTTTATAGTCAAGAAAACCAAAGTGTTTTATAGGAGGAATGGATAATTAGGAGAATAAAAGAAATGCTTGGCAACTCAAACAAACTTACCACACTGAGAATCATAGTGATTAAATAGAAATTCCTTATGTAATATCAATTACCATTGCAAAAAATTTAAAATATTGTGCATGCTTGATTATTAAGAATTATGCTCACTCCAGCTCATTCTAGCTTCAATGAACTAACAAATTTCTGGATTATCGACTTGAAAAAACAAAAGAATTCTAAAACAGAAAACAAATACAACTTAGAAGTAACTATTAAGATCTTTATCTAGAACACATTCCTCTGCATTGAGAAATTAATTAGGCCATGGTACAGGGTGCTACCTATCTGGTTGGGTCTGCAATGCCTGCGAATTCCACACTCCTTTTGTCCAAGTATTTCAAAATGTATTTCTTGTGCCTCAACCAAATATATATCAGTTTTCTGTAAAGGTCCTTACCCCAGTATTAAACATAACAGCAGGTCTTTCATTCACAGTAGACAAATCTGCTCCCTCATTTCTTGACATATTCCTATTCTGGTTCTTGACTGACACTTCACTCATCTGAGAGAGAGGCTGAGGTTGGGTAGATACAATGTCTGTTTGTGTCTCTTCTGTATTACCGACCCTACATTTAAAAAGTACAAAGTATTACATTTCTACTTTATCCCAATACATCTTGTTTGGAGAATGAGTCACAACACCCAACTTAGAAGATTCCCTGGTTTGCTTGCTGACTGGTAGGGGCACTATATGAAAGCAATATGGTAGAGCAAGTGGTTCCCAGCACCAGTCACAGGACTGCTGCCAGACCATGGGAAGCTAGAAAAACAAGGGCAACACAATGTTTCATTAAGTGGAACTCATTTAAGTTAAAGATTAAGGTCTAACTCCTACTTTGAGAAAGTTAAAATATCTATCTATCTATATATATAAAAGCCTAAGCAACTGAATGACTAAGTGACCGAATGACCAAACGACTGGTCGCTATGATGTGCACTGACCACCAGGAGGCAGACGCTCAATGCAGGAGCTGCTTCCTGGTGGTCAGTGCACTCCCACAATAACCTCCCTTGGCCGGCCAACCTCCCATGGCCCCTCCCCCCAGCCACAGGCCAACTTCCTGCGGCCCCTCCCCCTGGCCAGCCAATCTCCCTCAGCCCCTCCCCCCAGATGGCCACCCCAGTAGCCCAGATCAGGCTGGCCACCCAACCTTCTGCGGTCCCTCCTCCCGGCCAACCTCCCATGGCCCTGATAGGCCCGATCATCGGCCTGATTGCCGGTCCAGCTGAGGGACCCCATCTGTGCACAAATTTATGCACTGGGCCTCTAGATTCTTTATAAAATGATGGTGATGTAAAAGAAATTACATCAGGCCCCTCCCCCTACACTTCTTAAATTTTTAATGTGTGCATCTGAGAGTGTGGTGAGTTTATAAAGGGGACTAAGAGGTGGTCCTTTCCCCACTCAATGTTTTGGTGCTCCCTATGCACTGCTGCTCACCTAAAGAAGACTTCTTCCATGGTAGTGATAGTGACACCAAAGCTATCAATGCCCAGCTCTGTATGTCTCCTTTCCAGATCAGCAAACAGAGCTTCAAACCTAGAGTAAGAATATGATTAAGAATAAGAATGAGGAAGAGGAGGGAGGAGAAAATGCTAGCACCAAATTAGAAGATTTTCTTAGTTATGTATTTTTATTCTAAATTAACATTTTTTCAGCATTGGGGAAAATGTAGATCATTCTTTGCTTCAATGCTCATTATAATTTCATGCCTCTGGTAAATCAAAAAGGTGGGAAAGTTGATTAAAAAAAGAAACTAGCAAATTACTATAGCAAATTGCTTCCCACTCTACTTTGTACTTGGATACACATAATTTTGGTCTTCTAATAAAATATCAAGAGACTCTATCTATGCTAAAACTCTATCAAGTTGACATAGTTGATTTTTCATACACATGTATGCTATGGTCCCTCAGTCAATTACTTAGTAAATCAAGATAGAAAATCAGACTCAAGTTAATAGTGGGAAAAAGACACTCAAAAATAGAAAATGGATCAGGTTCAGTAGATGAAGATGTAGTGAGAACCATGTGATTCAACAGCCAAGGAAATCTGTAGAATCCAAGATAAATGAAACATGGAGACATCAGGGCTTTTAAAGAACAGTTTTCTGTACTTCATATTCAAAGGATCATCTTTTCCAGAAACCTCCAGGTGTTCAAGATCACCTATTATAGTCCCAGTATGAGCAACTGAACCTATCTTTTCATTCTCAGTGTTGAAGAACTCAAATTTCCCTTTTTGGAATATCTATTAAATTTAAGCTTCATATTTGAGCTTACATTGCTTTCCATTCAATTCTATATAGTTTTGCACATTGGTTCTCAGCTGGCACCTTTAAGTTATATAATCAGATATAATCTATCTACATGATAGCCATTCATGTGTTTTAAGTCCATCTCTTTCTATGCTTCATCCTTCCTAATGCATGGCTTTTCCACTAGGATTCACCCATATGTTTTTCTGCTGCTTTTACATTAGTTATGAAATTAATGAGTGCATTGTACAAAATTCAGAAAATGAATGCATATAAAAATAATTACAATATCCTTCATAGATAAGCAGTGTTAATACACGAATATTTTCACATATTTATTAGTTTCTTTTGGCTTTACACAATATATGACAAAATTAGAATTAAACTGTGTGGTACTTTAAAGTGTACTAATAAAGCACAAAGTGGAGAGAATGATCCATCAACAGTTTAGTAAATAAGTAGATACATTATAATATGAATGTATGATACAATAAGATTTAACTAAAATGGGATTTTTATTTATTTTTTAATTCTTTATTGTTGAAAGTGTTACATAGGTCTCCTTTTTCCTCCATTGACTTCTCCACACCCACTCCCACCTCCCATAACATGCCCCCACCCCCCTAATTGTCTGTGTACATTGGTCATGCTTATATGCATGGATACAAGTCCTTTGGTTGATCTCTTACCCCCACCCCTGCCTTCCCTCTAAGGTTTGATGGTCTGTTTTTGTTGTTGTTCTTGTTCTATATCTATAGGGTGTCCCAAAATTCACGCAAGAAGTAATTTTGATAGAAAACACAGGTTTATAATTAAGAATTGTAAATTTTTTATTGATTCATAAAGTATACAGTATAGGGTTATGTATGGAATAGCATATCAGGTAAATGGCCTCCACGGCTTTGCTTGCACATATGCACTCTTTTGTTGAAATTTTCCATGACTGTTTTGCATAAATGTGGCTGAATTTCATTGATACATCGCTCAATTTCCTCCTTCAAGGCATGGGTGGTTGTGGGTTTATTGGCATAAACCTTAGACTTCAAAAAACCCCAAAGAAAAAAGTCCAACGGTGTTAAATCGCATGATCTGGGTGGCCAATTCTGATCACCAAAATGGGAAATTACATGACCAGGAAATGACTCATGCAGTAATTGAATTGTTTCTCAGGCTGTATGGCATGTGGCACCGTCTTGTTGAAATCACATGTCGTCCACATCCATATCTTGCAATTTAGGCACAAAAAACTGGATTATCATGTCGTGATAACGAGCACCATTAACTGTTATTGCCTGAGCAGCTGCATTTTCGAAGAATGATCCCATGATGCCTCCAGCCCAAAATTTGCACCAAACAGTGACACGTTGTGGATGCATTTGTTTCTCAACAATCACTCGTGGATTTTCTGAATCCCAAATGCAACAATTTTGTCGATTAACCAAGCCATCAAGATGAAAATGAGCCTCATTGCTGAAGATGATTTTGTTCAAAAAATCAGCATCCACTTGTTGTTGTTCCATAATCCATTCAACGAACTCTATTCGCTGTGCATGGTCAGTAGAACTTTGAGTCAATTGAACTTTGTAAGCATGAAGATGCAAATCTTTCGTGAGAATACGCTGTAGAGAGCTTCTTGAAATGTCCAATCTTGACCACGGTGCTGAATCGATGTCCCTGGACTCTCAGTAACACTATCACGAACTGCTTCAATGTTTTGTGTTGAACGACTTGTTGAAGGACGGCCAGAGTGTTTAAGATCACTAATTGATCCAGTCTCCCTAAAATTTTTAATTAATCTCTTCACAGTTGATGAAGTTAAATCACTATTCTGACCCTATTGTGCACAAAAATTGCAAACTGTAGCTGCCAAACCTTCATTATTTTTAAAATATTGCTCAATAATGAAAATGCGTTGTTCTTTTGTGTAGTGCTCCATTTTTAATAACCCTGAACTGTCAGCTGTCACGCTATCTTTTTTGTTGTTGTTGGCAACACTTTATGGCACAAATGGCGTAAAATTCAAATCTTGCGTGAATTTTATATTTGTTTATCAGTTTATGTTGTTCATTATATTACACAAATCAGTGAGATCATATGATATTTATCTTTCTCTGACTGGCATATTTCACTTAGCATAATGCTCTCCAGGTCCATCCATGCTGTTGGAAATGGTAAGAATTCCTTCTTTTTTTTTTTTTTTTTACAACAGCATATTATTGCATTGTGTAGATGTACCACTGTGTGTGTGTGTGTGTGTGTGTGTGTGTGTGTGTGTGTGTTTTATCCACTCATCTGCTGATGGGCACTTAGGCTATTTCCAAATCTTAGCTATTGTAGATTGTGTTGCTATGAATATAGGGGTGCATATATCCTTTCTGATTGGTGTTTCTGATTTCTTGGGGTATATTCCTAGAAGTGGGATTACTGGGTCAAATGGAAGTTCCATTTTTAATTTAAAATGGAATTTTTTTCAGTCATCTTACAAATGAAGAAATCCTAAAAGTCTTATCATAGAAAGTGGATGGGGGAAATGCTGATAAGGGGAACAAAACAAGACTCAGAACATTATAATAAGATCTCATTTCTATAAAACTAATTATAGGAGAGGAACCAAGATGGAGGCATAGGTAAACACCTGAACTTGCTGCTGTCCACAATCACGTTAAAACTACAACTGAAAGACAAAACAAATATCATCCAGAACCATGGGAAGGCTGGCTGAGTGGAAATTCTACAACTAGAAGGAAAGAGAAAAGTGCATTGAGTCCTGTAGGAGGTGCAGAGGTGTGGAAATGTGGAGGTAAAGAGGCGCGCGCAAAAGGGGCTGGCAGCTGGGTACGCTGTTGTCTTTTTCAATCAGGAGGGAGATACAAGCTCCTGACTGCTCTGAACTCCAATTCCAGGTGAGAATCTGGGGACCCAGACTCATACAGAGAGAAACTGGACTGTCTGGCATCGACCAGGAACGTGAGGGCGGCTTTCTCACAGAGGTGCTTGCAGTGGTCATTTTTCCTGCACGGGGCTGTGGGACACAGACCCAGGGACCTATCTGGGAGAGGGCCAATGGGCAACCATTGCTGTTTTCTCTGCCCTGGTGATTCCCTGATACCCTGCCCACCCAGTTACAACCCCATCCAAGCTGTGTGCAGCGGCTTTTGCATATGAATGGCCTGGCCTTTCTAAACCTAAAAACCTGTCAAACTGCAACTGCGTCACAGAACCCCAGAGCTTCCAAAAGAAGGCCTAAGGCTTGTCACCAGCCTGCATTGCTTCACAGCTGCACCTCATCTGGGCACCTCCAAACCCCAAACAAAGAAGAGGAATCTGCAGATCTCTCTGTAGCTCCTACTGGGTGGCCTCAGGCAGTGGTTAACTTTGCACCTCCTTGGAGATCCAAGAGCCAGTGTACCCAGTGGTCAGAGTAAGACCATACAGATTACAACTCTTCACATCCATAAGAGACACACTCAGGGGGCAGACTCAGTGAGTGCCAAAACCCCAATGAAGCAAGTCCTGCCCCATAAAGGTGTCTCTAGCACAGAAGTTCTCCAATTGTAGACACAACTGGTCCTCACAGCCAATTGGCCTGGAGGTCAGTTCCTCCCAGTGATACCAACAGCAATCAAGGCTTAACCCTTTGAGTGCCAACCAATATCCTAGGAACTATGCTAAAATTGCCAAGGCATTTTTGCTGATTTTACAGCAGTTTAGGAAAAAAATTATGAATCGCAAGTAAATAAAGTTACATATTCAAAAACTTAAGGAAACCTTTACTACATTTGTTTTCGTCTTTGACATATATTGTTTGCTGATCTACACTAATAAGAGACAAAATGCAAATTGACCGTACCTTCGCTATACCTTATGACACGCCCACAAGCCAATAAGAGCGACTATATGCAAATTAACCCACCAAGATGGCGGTCGGCAGCCACGGAGCTGGAGCAAGCAGAAGGCTTGGTTGCCCCAATGATGGAGGAAGCCAAGCTTCCCGCTTGCCACGTCGGGCTCTGAGCTCCACTCAAAGCAACAAAGTTTCAATTATAGAAGGTAAATAAATCCCAGAATTAAAAAAAAGGGAAAAAGGAGAGGCTGGGAGCTTCCATCGCCAGGGGGGCTTGGCCAGCCTGAAAACAGCCCTCAGCCCCTCACCCAGACTGGCCAAACCTCCATGGGGCGATGGTCCCATGGGGGGGGCTTGACCAGCCTGCAAACAGCTATCAGCCCCTCACCCAGGCTGGCCAGGCACCCCAGTGAGGACCCCCACCCTGAAGGGGGTGTGACCAGCTGCAAAC